AACATGTTCTATATTTACAACATCAGGATATTACTAGCAAACTTTCTATTACTTCAGCACTGTCTTAACAGTGTTGTGTCAAGGGAAGTCTGTTTAAATATGCAAAATAAACAATACCAGTGGGGCTAGAAAATAACTGTTGCTTGATTCGTAAGGCAACCAAGGAAAAATGCAGACTATTTATCATTTATCTCTGCTGCAAAGACTAGTTTAGTTTCTTTCATGTAACTGTTAGTTGTCTGTAAATAAATTCCAAAAAATATTCACAAATTTCTCTCTTTGATCTTTACACTGCAGACTTTACCCAGTCATCAGTATCTTCTGTAATGAAATGTTTGTCTCTTTTTTGTTCAAATTTTGTATTCTTGTTAATAAGATCTTGAGTGGTGGAAAGGTTCCGAAACTCCCGGTTTCTAGATTCTCCAGTTCAGGCGGGAGTGCTCAATCCCTCCCTCAGAGGGGGGAATTCCATCAAAGGGGATCAGAGTGGGGAATTCCATCAAAGGGTACGAGGACAAGAACATCTTCCCACCTCACAGGCCTCTACTGACAACAGTTTTTGGGAAATGGCATTGGAGGCTATAGAATACACAGTTTTGGGTCACACCCATCCAGTGATGAATTGGTCCCAGCCACTCTAACTAGGACACCTGCCCAGAGCTGTGTCCAAGCTGTAGGTACCCAGTGTCACACATGGATATCTGTGCTGGGCTATGAAAGACTGAGACAGGAAACAGATCCACGGCACATTCAGGATTATTAGCTATCTCCCTTTATGATATCATCAATATATAGATGGATGTGTGTGTGTGCATTTTTGAGACTCTTTATCCACATTTCCAGATCCCATTTGATACACAGGTTCTCAGCATCAAAGAGAATCAGACCTACCACCAACCACATTTGGAGTTAAGACCTGTTATTATAAAGTTGCCTGATGTTGCCTGTGTTCTTGCTGCATGGTTTTCTATGGGCAGTCCAAAACAAAGCATCCTGCTCCAGAAGACATCCACTTTGAGTGTTAAGCACAAAGGAGGACAGGTCAGAAGACCACACACATTAAGGAGACAACATTGGTTAGTGTGGCAAACACTGTTGGGAGGTCAAATGGAGTGCTGAGAAGAACAATGTGGTAGTTATGCAGATTTTAATGATTGTAGATGGGAAAAATATTCCCGTGTGACTAGTCTCAGTCTTAACAATCCTGCTACAGTGAAGTTTTCAGGGGTCCTGAGACACTGCTACAGCTTCCAAGGTACTCCACGTGAAAATTAGGGCACAAGCAAGCTCTGAGTGGTGTTCAAAACCCAGACAGCTTATATTTAGCTTTACAAAGAGATGGGAGCCCACAAAGGAAGGTGAAGAGAAGGGTAGACTATTTTGAGTGACAGTAATGTGTGTCTTCCTTCAAGAATGCTAGCAAAGGAGCTCTATTTTCCACAAACCTCTGTGCTGTCCGTGATCGGGTGTCCCATAGTTTTTGCTGACAAGGGCACTACAGCAGAATATCCTCAGCCTTCTACAGCATCACCAACAAAGCAGCATAATATGAAGACAGTCATTATAACAGGCATCTCTTTTAGTTGTGTTTCCTGTTATCCTGGGAGAAAGAGTCTCAGGCGAGAAAAACAGGCAAAAGATTACAGAGGGAACATCCTCTGATGCTGAACTGGGACTACCCGTCTGTCTGTGGCTACATTTAACTCATGTGGAGAGTCTATATTTCAGTTTCCTCATGTCACACCCTAGATCCTGAAGAATAATTTTTCTCCAGGTGGACTATTTCATTAAGATGCAGAGGCAGACTGGGTTTTGTCATTTTCCACGGTTCCTTACTTTATAGACTGTGTTTTCAGGGATTGAAACTCCCAGCTCTGTCTCCTCTGTTTCAACTGATGCTTATGCTCTGGCTGTAAAACACACTTCCAGTGAGGAAAGTGCATTCAGTAAGGAATTTGGAGAATGCCTTTTCCTCTGGAAATGGATTTATTTTTCCAGTTCACATCTATGCAATCTTGCCTGGCAAGACTTTCATAAATGGGAGGAATTATTCTTCTTTTAACTATATAGATAGTAATGCTATCTTAGGAGTTGAGGTTTGACAGTCTTGGCTTCTGAAAGAGCCTAGGGAAATTGAATGCTCCTACTCCCACCTTGTTATCATACCACAGATTCTCCCAGGGCGAAAGAAAAATTATATGGTTGCAGACCTAATTCAGATAGTGTCTGACCCACCGTAGGCATTTTCAGATATAAGGAAACATAATAAAATTTTTTTTTTTCATATATTTTTGTCTCTCTTTTAAGACCACACACCAATCATTTGTGCAGGAAGATGTGTTATAGATTAAAGTCACTGTTTTGTGAAGTGCTTGATAGAAATAATGAGGTGGAGCAGACTGAAGTACCAAGATGCTGCCTGTCCTGCCACTGTCTCCTGATGGATTGTTTTCACAAGCCTGCTTGGCCAATAACATTTTCTCTTTCTCCCAGCAAAAATTTGTTAAATGCTTTGGTTGTTGACTAGTCCATAGCCCTTCTTGCAGATGAGGTCTCCAGTAGAGTGCTATGCAGCTCTGTCTTGTTTTGATTTTAATGAAATTCATGTTAATGCTAGTCAGAAGTCTTTGCTTTTCTTCTTAGGTGGTAACTTTCTGGATTTGGAAAAACACATTTTCCTTGTGCTTAATTACATTTCATTAGGTTGGGACTTCTCTTTGTTTTCTGTGAGGAAAACTGTTAAAATAAAAAAAGCAAGGAAGTTAGGAAAAAACACTTTTGATTCCCCATCTCTCATGGGATACAACTGCATATTAAAGCAAGTCATTCTTTGGTAACTGTGATACTGGCTGCTTTTAAATCCCCCAATCTAGTTTTATATTGCATTCTCAGTTTTTTATGTACAGACTTGGCTGGATTTCAGCTGCTTCACTACTGAGAGAAGATCACTCGGTTTGAAAATAGGTTCTGTTTGGCCTGGTTCAGGACACAGGAAACTCTCAGCTGTACTTATGAGTGTAGACTTCCAAGAAGTAGTCCATTTGGTAAAAATGGGTATTACTACCCAGAAAAAAAAGGAATGACACCATCAAATGAGGGTGGAAGACAGCTTTCTATGTTATCTTAATTTATTATCAGCAGTCTGATGAGACTAGAGGGTGTTAACACCTTCCCCATCAGGTTGGTTTGCAGATTCACGCTGCAAGTTTCCTGCGGTGGTTCAAGGAATGATCTATCTCCTCTGTACCTGGCACTTCCAGGAAAAGCACTGTGATTCAGTTCACCGATATTAGAAGCCTAAAGAAGATGATACACATGCCCCTCTTGGTAAGAGAGAGTATCTATTTCCAAAGTACTCAAAAACCAGCAGGGAAGGAAATGGTTAAAGTAAAAAACCCAACAACCCAGAACTGAAGTGATTTGGGCCAGACAAGTGGTTGAGAGGGCCAGAGTTAAAAAGTTTGCACCTATGGACAAATAAGGGTTTTATCCAAGCGTCACAGCAAACATTTGGTAAGTGATACCTCAGTCCTGAACACCTGCAGTTTATTCCAAATTAATTTCCAGTTGTCCTGGTCAGATTACACTGTTAACTGTCACTATGCTTTTTGCAGGCACATTTAGGTGTATGGTGGCTATATCTGTGCTGGTCTAGATTCTTCTCAGGAAGAACAATTGTATTTGAACAGTTTGTTGAGACCCAGTTTAATGAGGGCCTACACCAAGGAAAAATTACGCTAATTTGAGTGGCATGCCCAGGGAGTTTAGAAGAGTTTCTTTCAAATGGAGGATGATGCCAGTCAAAGCGCAATATTGTGCAAGATGCCAACATTTGAGTGATTTCTGTAACCAATTCTTGGTTATTATCAGCTTATAGCATTTTCTGCAGCAGTGAGTGATGTTGACTCTGGAGGCCTTGCCACTTGCTCTGTACAAGTGCCAAATGTAGGCATTTTCTGGTGTTTCTTGTCTATGCTGGAGCCTTTTGCACCAAATCAGAATGTAGAGTTCTAGGCAAGAGGAAATGTGTGCTCATTTAATATGAATGAACAGGTTTTGTGAGTTCACTCAGCAGTTCCTGTATCACACCTCCGTGTTCTAATGAAAAGAAAAAATTCCTGTTAGAAACCTAATATGCTGTCATGTCATGTCATCCCTGTTCCAGTGGCTAACTGCTTCCCTTTAAGAATTTATAAATTATATATAACATGAGCTTTTTCAACTTACAGAGTTTGGAGCGGATCAGTTGCAACAGATTTAGAAGCCTTCACACAGCAGAAATCCTGGAGATGCTAACAAACTTTAACTGAAACACTTCTTCACTTTTCCTTTTTTCATGTCACGAATTTGAGCTACTTGAAGTGTTGGCCTTATACAAAGAAAAATTTTGTATGATTGAGTAGTAGATTTTCTGTTCTTCCAGGCAATAGGACCCACTCTCGGTAGACAAAAAACTAACTGGAAAATGAAGGTCATTATCCATTTAAAGATCAAAAACTCCTACTGCACAGAAACCCTTGTTGACTTCATAGTAAGCCTAGCCACAGTTCAGAACATGCCAGTTTCTCACAGTGAAATTGCACTCCACGTAGTGGTCCTATCCTCCAGATAGAGGAGGCTATTTGCAGTTTCCACTTCAAATAGACAGAGGATAATGTGTTCACATGGACTGAAGCCAGAAATTTTTAGCTGTGAACATCTTAGAGCCATCATCTAATACCAAGATTTAAAGTGACATGTAGTAAGGATAATGATGACATTATTCCCTTCTTGTAAGGCCAATTATTGCCTCTAATTCATGATGTTCTAGTTACAGACGAGGTAGTTTTTCCATTACAAGCTTCTTCTCTGTGTCTGTGTCATTTGAAGCTGACATTTCTCATAGTAGCTGTCAGTCCAGTCATAAGAGGATTTTATGATTAATGACATTCAGTTTTTGCTGTTTCCAAGGTGCTTCAAATCCTACAGACATCGTTTACCAGAGGGAAAAGTGGGACAGTTAAGGCTGATGTGTTCTGCCTAGAACAGCATTAGCTGTTCTGCTGATGCTAAGCTGAACACAGGTGACTTTTTGGCACAATAACCAGAGGTTTTGGTAAAGTAATAAAACGTTAATGTCTTCTCTGATCTGCAGCCATGCACATAAATTTCTCTGAAAGTGAGTCCTTTGAAATGCAAAGGGAAACTGCATGATTTTTGCCTTGCATTGGAGGGAAGGTTGTAGACGGGGATACTCTGATAGCTTTTGCCTCCCTGAGTTAGTTGTGAAATTATTTTTGGGCAATATTAGATTGATTTTGTCAGTTTTCCTATCTGTTATATTTGTGCTGCAGTAGTTTTCAGAGTCTACAGCTGGTACAAAGGCCCTGTGGTGCTTTTTATTTGTACATAAGACTGGGATTTTGACTGAGTGAAACAAAGCAGGATTGTTGAGTTGACTGACAGGAATACGACACAGGTCTATCTCAAGAAGAATGGAGAAAGTAAATAAGGAAATTACTGTTTCTCATAGGAAAAGATTTAGAGGACCCCAAATGAGACCAAAAGGTAGCATGTTCATAACAAAGGATAGGACATGGCTCTTCACTTGATATGTGGTGAGCCATGGGCCACCTTGCTCCAAAAAGTTTATAGGGTTGATTTTGCATGGATTCAGAAGGAGACAGAACAAATTCATGGAAGACAATTGTCCTGTTCCATCTGGAGGATAGTTAATTCACAGACAAATGCCTGTGGCTTATTACCTTTCTGGTGGCCACAAAACTGTTAACAACTGTGATACTGTTCTGGAGTAGTATCATTGCAGCTCTGTCCCGACCTTACATGGATTCTTAAGTATCTAATTTTGTGTGTTGCTGAAACTCAGGACCACATGAGCCTTTGATGTGATCCATGTTCTTCTTATGTTACAGCGTTTCTATCACAGTTTTTGAATTGTGTTGTTCAAGAAAGAGAAATGAGCACTGGAGGAGGAAATCTGTAAAAAAGTGGTTGTTGATTTCAACATAAGTCTGGTGGCATCCAGGGCATGTGAGCTTCTCATAGCAGAATTAAAGAATACCTAAACAAATTTTGACAATTGAAGGTGCTGGAAAAATATTTTTTTCTCACATGTGTGCACAAGGGCAGACCAGGATAACCCAATTGCAATGATCCAGAAATACCTGGAGATGGGGACAGCAATCTTTGGACGTGTCTGTTTCATAATGGGAAAAAATCTCTTGGTGAAACTCATCTTCCCCTGAAATGAGCCAGTCTCCAGACTGCTTCAGGAAAGCCCTATGGACTTAGTAAACTATTGATAAATAAATATATATATATATATATATATATATATATATATAATGATGGCTAAGGCTGTTGTTGATCTGCAGACTTCTGTCATCAGCACTTTGTATGGCCATGCCTGAATTCGAGGATCTTACTGAGTCTGTCTGCTGACAGAGTTGGAAATATTTTAAGGTGGATGAAAACCTGGTATTTTCCACTAGCTCTGGACAGTCCAGAGCCTGTGCATTAAACAACAAACAACAGTTACAACATGAAGTCTGGAAAATAATCCATGCAAACCCTACAAAGTCCAATGTGCTTATATCCATGTGACAAAGCACAGACCTGTAGGTTTTATACAGAATGTGTGTCAGCAATGAAAAGGCAAGAATGGTCCACACATGCATTTACAGACAATCTCTATATTCTCTGTATTCCAGAAGTCAAAGCTTTTTGCCATTTGTAGTACTTTCTGACTGTATCAAATACTTCTGTAAGGAAACAAAGGGTAACACTATATTTGTAAGTGGATTGGGAGCTGTTTGATTCTGTCGAGTCGGGGAACTGCAGAGGTCTGCTCTGGGATTCATTGATAGATAAAGGCTAAACTAGACAGGTACTCCAGCAAAGAGTGAAGCTGAGGTTAGGGGAATTTGATGAAGGAGAGACACAACAAGTAGATATGGTCACTTTCTCCTGCACCTAAAAGCTAGATGTGACCCAAAGGGAAAACTGTGAGAAAGAATATATTTCAAAGAAGGGTTTTACTAAATTCAGAGACTGTTTTGTCTGTACTCACCTTTGGATTAAGTCCATTAATCCATTCATATCTAAAAAACACTTCCATGAGCTCTTCAATGAGAGCCTACATAGACCCCATTGCCAATAACAACTGCTCACATGCAGTTGGATGAGGGAACTTGGAATCATGTATTCAGATTTTTGCTTAAGAATTTGGGATAATCCGCTTGCAAAGTCATGTGAGCATGTTACAAGAAAGAGCCAGAGCCTGCAATTAGCCAAAGAAGAAAGAAAGATTTGCAGTAAAATTTCTTTCCCTTAGGCAGTCACATCCTAGCTGCATTATCCTGGCAATATTTGACAGGGAACAGTGCAGAATGACTACCTACTTAATTAAATATATTTTCAGGAGGGGTAGATGTTTTCTTAATTATGCTAACTCCTCCACTAAGTTTTCTCTCATAACAGCTCTTCATTGTTGCATGTTTACTTCTTCGATGTACTTCACTGTTTATCTTTAAAGTCCTCAGAAATTCAGCATACAGATACTTAGGTCACAGTCAGGGATAACAGTCATAGAAACTATAAAGCTATAATTCATAGTACAAAGCTCAACTTTGATCTTGCTTTGCTGTGGAGCTTACTAGAAGGAAGAGAAAGGGAAAGAAAAAGGAAGTGGTTTTCTGACAGAAAGGGAAGCGGTTTTCTGAAGAACTTAGGAACCTCAGAGATATGGTCTGGTTTTCAAGGTTATATAATTAATAAGATGTTTTATTTCCTAGGTATTGTTTTCCATAAAAAGAAAATCCCTGGGGTTTTCTGGTCACTTTAAAATTTTGTATGCCTATGATGGTGCTCAAAGGAGAGGTCCCACCCTCTCCCCACCCTAGCATTCCAGTTCCCGCTCTTCTGCTTCTACTGGCATAAACATTTATGCAAGAGAACAGTCAGCCAGGTCCAAGAACAGATCAGCTGAAATATATCCTTAAAAAAAATACTTAAAAACTGTCAGATGTGAGCCATTGTAAAACTGTGTGTGTTCTTCACCCAGCACAAGGAAAGCCTACTGAACTGCAGAGGGCTGCAGCACGAAATGAGGCTGCCCCTCTTAGTGGTGATAAGGATTTTTACAGGGTTCAGCTCACACACTTCATCTCTGCCACAGCAGAGAGCACCTATGTCTTCATCCTGCGTTTGCTGGGTGAGCCTTATCTCTGTGTCCCAGTGTTTCCAAGGGGATGGTCGATCTGGTGCAGTAGTAGGAAGTGCTGTCCCTCTTTATCTTGCCCCAGAGAGATCTGTAGTAGTCAGGAGAGCCTGTGTGGCTGGGGGGTGGGTCTAGGAGTTTCCTGTTGTGCTTTTATGCTGTAACCACAGCATTCAGACCTTCGGATTATTGCAGGGAATTGGCATATCTGCTCAAGAGATTTGCTGTCTGGCTCTTGTTATTCTTGGAGCAAAGCATTCATGCACAGGCTGACAGTGAAACTGGGGCAGATTCTGTTCTTCATAGTTATTCCCATGAGACTTGACTGTTTCCTTGGCAATACATATGCTACACACAGTAAGATGCTTGCATTGGGGCCTTCTTTTATATTTTCAGAGCTACATGACACCAAAGGACCAGGCTGCATTCTTGAACGCTGTTCTTTGGCTCTAATCAACTCTTGCAAGGCACACAGGGAGCAGAAGAAGAGGCTAAGAGGGAGCATCCTGCTGTCCATGTAGGATTCTTTTCGGGATTGTTGTTCACCAGATGACACATTTCTGCCCTGCAAAAATAATAGGTGCAGTGTCCGCCATTGTCCACAGGGAGGGGAACAAATCCTAGCTCCTGACATGAACCAGGATTTTTTGCAGAGGGGAGGTGGCTCATCCATACCTGAGCAGCGCAAAAACGGTCTGATTGCATTGTACTAAACAAACCAGACGTCCTGGCCAAGGCTGCAGGGTAAATTTACATGTTGTTTAGAGGCAATTTTAACAATCAGTCTGAACCTCAAGAGAAAGAATGACATGTTTCTTAAATATCTTTGCAATAACAGTGCTATTTTACACTGAGGTGTACCTAAGTGGTAGTAAGAGCATGAGCAGGAAATCTTAAGAATATGGGACTAACTTGAACTTTGAGCAAGCAACTTGAACACTAAGCAAGAGAACTGTCATGTCTGCAGTCCTGGTCATGTTGAATCTAGGGACGGGAAGCAGAGACCAAGATGCTTCCTCTCTTTGTAGAGTTCTTGAGGGTGAAAGCATTCTCCTTCCTTATGCCAATCAGGATTTTCTTTCCTGCATCTCCTCTTATATTGAATAGCTGTGCTGATTAATCATTTCCCCTTACACTCTCCAAACAAAGCACTCCTTTCCACCTGCTCCTACCTAGAATTGATGCTATTAATTCTGCTCTTTATGACAGAGTTTGGTAGGTGTTGGTCTATTCTTTGGTCAAACCATTTTGGCACAGGGTGGAATAAAAACTGAGCAAACTGATCTAGTGGAAGGATTCCGTCTGTGGCAGTGGGGGTTGTACTAGATGATCTTTAAGGTCCCTTCCAATCCAACCCATTCTGTGATTCTATGTTCTATCTCCTAGAAAGAGTATTTGAGGGTGATAGTGCGGGCACTTAACCTGTTTTGTACTCCTGATGTAAGAGGTGATCCCTTGGCAGAGGCATACTTCCAGAATACCCACAAATGCCTGGACTGTGCTTCTCCATCATGTAGTTTCTCCAAGATGAATAAACATAGTCAGATACCCTAAATCACAACTCAATAGTTCTCTGAGCAGCAGATCCATGTGAGCGTGGGACTATGATGAAACTGGCATGGCTAGACCTCTGCCTGGGGTACTTTTGTACTGTGCTCCATTCATGGGCTAAAGATCCCCAGCCCAACCCTACCCCCTGCCTGAAGGGATTCCAGCAAAAGCACAAATGGAGGTTAGTCCTCTAATCATGTCACTTAGCAAGGACATCCAGTTCAAGGGCAGTGATCTTGCATTTCTATTCTCGACCATGGCACAGAGTCTGTTTACAGCGGATATTTTAAAAGACTGGTATAATCCTGGTCACTCTTTGGATTGTCCAAAACCTGATAATCTTTCTATACTATTTTATGTTCAGATCTCTCTTTCAAAACGGTGACATGTCCGCACTTGTCATTAAAGTTTGTGGCACAAGTAGCAGCAATGTATGTAGAAAGCAGTCACTTGTGAGCCCTGAAATCCCTTTTTTTTGTGAGTCAGTGCAAACAAATCAGTCTGTTTTGCTGATGGTGTGTGTTTCTCTTCAAACCCCTGGATGCTGTTGTGCTGCAGACATCAAATTACACCTTTGCAGTCAATGCCTCACTTTAGAATAAGATGCAATCTTTCATTCTTTGAAATGAATTTATTCTTCTTTACAACCTTACTGTTGATCAAAATTAAAAGACAAAATATGGAGCTCCCAAGGCTTTCTGACACTGCTTGATGCTGGCTGAGAAGACGGATGTCATTTAGTGCAAAGTTAAATAGTTTTATATTTTGATTTCAAAGTAAAATTGAAAAGTGGATCTGTTGCCCAAACATCAGACCACTAAAAGTCATGGCTCTAGTTATCTAAAGCTGGTAAATCATTCTGTTCTCAGAGAATTGAGATGAATACTTCCCCTGCACTGACATTCTGCCCTCTTGGGTGTGGTGAGAGTTCAGAGAGAACCTTGACTCTAACCTAGATGCCTATTTCTGGGATGTTTGATTACAACCACAATGCTCAGGATGTTGGCCAGCCTGAACCGAGTCTAGTATAAAGAATCTCCTCCCAAGAATATTACTGGGCCAACACTGACAGTGGGGAAATCCAAATTAAACTGATCCATGTAAACTGATTATACCGACCTGTGAGGCTCTTATGTCATTCTCCCTATAGCACTGCAAAATTCCATGAGAAGGCCTATTTTGGGAATGATAAAACCCAGATTACAGCTGAAAAAAAAGGGGGGCCTGCACTGCTGCTGGTTAGAAACATTCGAAAACTTTGGAAGAATTCAAAAGAAAAGAGAGAAAATCCTCTGATGTTGATGGCCACTGTAGCAAAATAATGAAACCTTTTTTAGATCCTGAGTGGAAAAAATGTCAGCTGAAAACATTACGTGCAACATCAACCAGTTTTGTTGAGATGAAAAGCATATGCTGTGAATCCATGCTGGAAGATTTCCTAGAACATGTTTTTCTCGGCTTTCACATGAAATTGTGACATGGCTTTTCCTCATGGTTTTGCCTAATACATGCAGAGAGATACTTGTTCAGATTTGTTTAGGTCGTGTTTTTTTTTTTCTTGGTTCCTTTTAAAGGAGTTTTGGTTCTGAATGACACTTTTGAGTCATAATGACATGTGTGACTGATAATGCAACAGATTAGGCACTGGGGAGTGGGCAAAACCCCCAAAAATTCTGGGTGGTCTGTTGTGCAGATTTTAAATTGGGAATAGTGCTTGTTACACTGCAAACACCTGGAGTTCCTTGTAAGTAGATGTGTGACTCCGGCACAACCTGGTGCTGCCTGAGACTGGAGTGGGGAAGTCACTTCCTGCAGGGATAGACAGGGTCAAAATAATAGGCTGTGCTCTTCTGAAAGCACATAGGAGAGAAAGAAAAATATTGTTATTTTTCATGCAGGGAGCGAGTCAGAGAATGATGACTACTTGCAGGAAGACATAACTACTTAGCTGCAGGTTAGCAGAGTTAAATCAAGCCGTGTTCTGTTAAGAAGAGATTTGTTTCTATCCATGGCTAAGGCACATTGGGGGAGGCTTTCTTGTGAGCAGCATTGAAACTTTAGGTAGGTGTTATAAAAACCATTGTCTTCTCAAACAAAGCCTATAATGTAGTTTATGAGGCAAAGTTTTCTGTCACATTCATTTTATAAGTTGTGTTCCAGCGAGGTGCAATCAATCAGTAATAGTTTTCATTTCCAGGATAAAAATCTTCCATGATGCTACTACCTGTGTTCTTGAGAACATTTGAAAATTAACTTGTGAAGATTCCAGTTTGGCTAATTGCCTTGAGCAGCTCATTTAATTAAAAAAGAAAAAAAAAAGAGAGGAAAAAAGAATCTGAAGAAGTGAAATTTAGGAAGTAGCTAAGCTGTCCCATAGGTTTTCCTGTCCTACCATTCCAAATAGTCTGCTGTTGCTGCATCTTCTGTGGGTGAATTTAAAAAAAAAAAAAAAAGAAAATTTGCAAAACCTTCAAATAAATGAAATTCCATTTTTCCCTGAAACACTGCAAACCCAAAGACAATATCTGAGTGAGAATCAGAAAGTTTCCAATACTTTATTGACTGCACCACGGTGCTCAAGAACTCACCTAAAATACATGCACTTGTTGAATTTAAATATCCATGTTTCATTCCTGAAAAGGCTTATGCACAGCTTAGATTTACATTTGTGGTATATTTTATGGGCTTCAGTGCTAAAGACAGACGTAAGTGCTTGCATGGCATTTGACAGGAATGTGTGGAAAAAGGGCTGTTTACAGTCTGACTACTGTGTTTCTGTATCCAGCAGGACTGTGAAATATTACAGCAGTCTGCGTTTAAATTCTTTGATTCATTGCTCTACCGTGTAAAGAAAAATGTCTGTAACTCAGAAGCTGAAATTTCACTTGGATAGGGGCTGTCTTTTGAGTTTTAACAGAAATGTCATTGAAAAGCTGCTGCAATGGTACACAGGAGTAGAATTCAACTGAACCTTGAAAGAAAAACTTGATAGTCTGAAAATATTAAGCGGTTTAAAATGCTTGCGTGTTTTTTCTTTCCCACTTACAGGGAACATGTAAAGTAACAGGGTTTGAAATGCCTGCTTTCACACCAGACTGTGTACCTGCTGCACGTGTAGAGAGAGTGCTTTGCATGACACTGCCCAGCAGACACAGGTACCTGTGCAGGCTTCTTTACTCTGGGATGTAATTTGGGATTGTGTGAGCCCTTATACAACCATAGTTTGAGCCCTTACACAACCATAGTTTGGGAGAAGGAACCAACACCTCCCCACGGACAAGGGATGATAACCATCTCCTGAAGTTCACTAATTCCTTCTGCACTCATGAGATTTCGATTACTCTTGCATGAGCAGGCTGTGTAATCCTCTCACAAGGGCAGCACATCCCTCTAACCCTGATAACTCCAGTTTCTCACTTGCCAGCCAAGAACTTTCCATCTTGCAAATGGTGGCTTATCATGCTACTATCTAGAGTGAAAATTTATAATCCAGGATTAGACGTGAGTTCATATCTCCCTTCCATGCAAACCCAAAATGAATCAACTTGATGAGTAGCAGTTAGTAGGGATTAGTTATTGTTATTAATTATCGTTGTAAGAACTATAAATCATCAGTCATGATTATAGTAATATAATAATAATATTTTAATATGCTAGTTTCACTAAGGTAGGTACTGTGGCACCGTCTGGATGTTTTTTTCTCCAGGAAAGAGAAATATTTCACAACAGTGAATGGCAAAACCAGAACACAGCTCCTGACCTGAATATCCATACAGATCAAGGCATGAGAAATCCTTTGGACCAGAATAGAGGTGGCCGGGAATAGAAATCTGTGATACAAAACCAGGTATCAAACAATTTCATACGTTCCTCATGAGTTTTTCTAATTTGGTTTCAAACCAAGGAAAAAGTCTCTGAAAGAAGGCTTTATCAAAAGTACATATGTTTGCTTGGACTGGGGAGAAACAAATGGTGGATGTCTCGACTTCCACAAGGCTTTTGACACTGTCTCCTGTATCTTCTCATAGGTAAGCCCAGGAAGTGTGGGTTAGCTGAGAGGACAGTGAAGTGGATTGAGAACTGGCTGGATGGCAGAGCTCAGAGGGTTGTGATCAGTGGCACAGGGTCTTGCTGGAGGCCTGTAGCTACTGGGGTTGCCCAGGGGTCAGTACTGGCCCCAGACTTGTTCAATTTATTCATCCATGACCTGCAGGCAGGGACTGAGTGTACCCTCAACAGGTTTGCCGATGGCACAAAGCTGGGAGGAGTGACTGCTACCCCAGAAGGCTGTGCAACCCTTCAGTAAGTCCTGGACAGCCTGGAGAGTTGGGCAGAGCAGAGCCATCTGAAATTCAACAAAGGCAGATGCAGGGTCCTGCACCTGGGGAGGAACAACTGAAGGGAGGGTGCCAAGAGGATGGAGCCAGGCTCTAAGTGGTGCCAACAGAACAATGGGCAATGGACACAAACTGACACACATGAGGGTCCCCCTCAGTATGAGGAAGAACTTCTTTACTTTAAGGGTGACAGAGCACTGGAACAGGTGAGAGAGGTTGTGGAGTCTCCTTCTCTGGAGATGGTCAAGACTTGACTGGACATGATCCTATGCAACCTGTTCCAGGTGAACCTGCCTCAGCAAAGAGGTTGGACTAGAAGAGCTCCAGAGGTCCCTTCCAATCCCAGTGATTCTGTTACATAAAGAACATCCATGAATGTAAGGAAAACTGTCAAATCTAGTCTAATCTGAGGACTAGAATAATTTTGTGATCCAATAAAAAAATCACACATGAAATCCACACAAGATCCAAGAAAAATTAGATAAATTAGTTGTGTTCATGGGTGTGATTGGCATGAAAGAAATTAAGATTGTGTTGTGCAAAGTGATGGCAGGTAACTCATTATCTTTTAAGCAATGGACCTATGCAGTCTAGACTGGGGGGGTGTGCTGGCCTCGCTTTTTCATGCTCAGTGCTGGCCCAAGAATAGGACAGAACAGTTGGTTTTCCCTTGTGGATCTTTACTATCACATGAAAGGTAGTCAAATGTAGAATATTAGTCATTTATGCTTATGCAAATTTTCTTATGCAAATTATCTTCTAAATGTTAGATATTTTCCTGTCTCCCTTTGCACAGCTCAGAGGCACTGCAGAAAAAGGGACACCAGTAATGCCAGCAGCAGGAAGTGAGTTGAACATACAACTGCTGCTGCATCTGCAGGTAAGCTGGAGCAGAGCAGGGAAGGGGAAGTGTTTCAGAGGTTATATAAAGGGCACCAGAGGGTATCAAGGCTGTTTCTGAGACCCTCTCAGCTGGGCTGGTCCATCAGCTCTATGTCACCTGGTTATGTTCAAAGGATCCAGAGAAAGGTAAAGCAGGAAAAACAAAAAGGCTACCTTGAGCTATTTGGCTGGTCTTTCTTTCCAGGCAGAGAGAAAAAGGATATATATTCCTCTGACCGATTTAGCTATTCTGCAGCATGAAATCCAAGGCTAGCAGAAGACTACATTTCCTAGGGTACTTGCACATCTTTCTGTAATTCTCTTGCAATTGGGCTGAAATGAAAGGCATCCTCCCACATGTCTGTTCTGCTTTCAAGAATAAGAAGAAAATCTCTACAATTTGTCCAGGGATAAGAATTTGCATACCAGATGTCTAAACTGTCACTGGTGTGTCTGAACTCCACGTCGTAGAATTGGTGACTGAATTTGCCATCTATTTCAGTGTATCACCTTTTCTTTTTTCCCTTTGTCCTTTTCCTTTTTTTTTTTCCTGGTTAATGTGGGTTTTTTGCAGAAATGGGGTTACAGGTAAGAATGCTTATCACTAACAGTTTAGAATAATACAATCATGTGCTGACCAAGCAGAATTAGCACAAGCAGGGTCCTGGTGGACAGTGAGCTGGACATGAGCCTGCTGTGTGCTCCTGCAGCAAGGAGAACAAAGTGTACCCCAGGCTGCCTCATCAAGACCATAGCTAGAAGATTAAGGTATGCAACTTTTCCCCAATCCTGCAGTTCTAAGGAAGAAAGCATTCATAAATATCTTATGCTTGAGATGCTTCTCAACGTATCACAGGAAAACTTTATTCCCCTGTTAGACACAGCTATGGATAGTTGCAAAGAAGCAGCTCTGAAATGCTGAAATCATGTTTTGGCTGAACCATGTGCTTTTTATCTGTGGTTGAAATGGCTCGTGACTGCAGTATAAATTGAGATGTTACTTCAATTTGCAAGAGGCAAAGAAGATACATATTTTTAGCTTGCTCAGTTCAGCTGAGAAGATAAAACTCTGCAGTTGTCCATATCAGTAGACAACCCAAAGTAATTTACTGTTGGGTTTGTAATCATATTAATTTTTCTTGTTTATTTAGTAAACTAAGTTCAGATAGTTAAAGGCCACTGCAAGCACATTAAGACCTGGTACTGATTTAGAAAGATCAAATTTACTCAGTTAAACAACTTCAACTTTTTATGTAGACACTGAGCCTAAGATCCTTATTTTAATACTTCATAAATGTTTTGACCTTGTAAGTAAACATTGTGGTCTCATTCTCTTCCCTTCCTCTGCTAAACTTGAGGTGACTGTAAATTAAAAAAAGACCAACTCCAAAAACTAATGCTGCTGCCCTAATGCTGCCTTGAGCTAACTTTGCTAACTTGTTCTCTTAGGAAGAAATGTTTAGCCCTGAGGAAATTTGAGTAGTATTTTTACTTTTTAGAATTTTTGTCTTGAAGGATAAGCTCAGTGAAACAGAAAAAGATCAGATTGGATTGCTGTTATTTATATTATCTCTAGCCTAAAGCTTCTTCTCTGACTGTGACTACAGATGTTGCATCAGCTAAAGTTGCAAGAAACCTCACAATAAACAATGACCAAATTTGAGAAGCAATTTCTGTCTCTTACTTAGAATGTCAGTTTGTATGCCAAGACATAAGTGTTTTATCCTTTCAATAAACAACCCTTGTCCTCTCTCATGTAATTACGGTGGTTTGGGTTGGATATTTTTTTATAATTATAGCTATAAATATTTCAGATCTTTTATACTGTTTAATCTCTCTTTCTGGTCAGCTGCAGGGAGATGTTTCAGCAGACAATTCCACAGGTTAGTGAAATGCAATATGGGGAAACATTTCTTTCCCTTCACTTTTAGATCAATTTTCTTTCTTTCTTGTTGAAAGCATTTTTGTTTCTTTCTGTCGAAAGAGGACAAACAGGAGAATACTGTAACTTGCCTTCTTGCAGCCAGAAATCCACTGCTTAATGCTACCCTGCCCCTTCTCCTGACAGGAGATTTTGCTTTCAATTAGCCCTTTAAATCAGAGTAGTTCCTTCTGTACTGACAGCATATGAATTAGTAGGTGAGAGACTGGTTCATTGCCAAGACATGACTGCATTTCCTGGCAGTTTGTTATTGTGTTCAATTAAGGAATTACAACCACCGAAATTTGCAGTACCCATTTTGGTCTTCAATTCAGTGGTTTTCGTTCCTTTACCTGTGCAACAGCATTGCCTTGTTTGGTTTGGTTGGCTTGCTTTTGTTTTGCAGGTTGCTTCTAAGACCAGATGGTCTCACACATATATATTTCATACTGTCACAGGCACAGACTCCAGAAGCATCCCTGCTTCTCCCAGGTTATTTTGCTGGTATCCTGTATCAGAGAAAGCGCTGTGCATCCAGAAGAAGCATTAGGAGCCCTTCCCAAATGTGCTCACCAGCAAATCCTTCTGAAGGCAGCTGTGTTCCTAAGGGCTCATGTCTACAGAGGTGTAACTGCAGATAACAATGGTGCAA